AGTCCTCATGATGGACACAATATCTTTATTCACTCTTTTTTTTTTTTTAATGTGGTGCTGAGGATTGAACCCAGCGCCTTGGGTATGTGAGGCMAGTGCTCAACCACTGAGCTACAACCCCAGCCCCCTTCATAATCTTTTGTACCTCATTGTACCTTCATAATCTTTTGACCAAGTATGGTCCTACTGAAACTTCATCTGATAAACTTTACCAAAAAAGGACCTTCCTGTGTGTCCCATCCTTCACACTATCAGCAGTTTGTATTCACCTTGGCATGATTCACTTCTGCCTCTGAGGATCTGATTTAGATGAACTGGTGATCAAATTGATCACAAGCCTGAGTTAAAGTAATTCTTCATGGCTCTGCCATTCCACAGAAATCCCACAGGGTTACTGCTGATTTTCTACAAATCGTGTAACTTCTCTGGGCCTCTCTTTCTTCTTCTGTCAAATAAAGGAATTAGATTGGATGATGTAAGTCCTGACCATCTATAAAATGCTAAATTTTGCCTTGCATGCACAAGGCCCTGGGTTCAATCCCAGTACCACACACAAAGAAAAACCTAAATTTCTGTGACTTTATATTTTATTTGCTCCATGGGATAGGACTGGGCTTTTTGGGATACTAGATTTATTGAAGATCCTTTTGCTTCTTGGTGCTGGACTGTTGTATTTAGAATGTGTTTGGAGGGCTAGGGATGTGGCTCAAGTGGTAGCGCGCTCGCCTGGCATGCGTGCGACCCGGGTTCGATCCTCAAGCACCACATACCAACAAAGATGTTGTGTCCGCCGAGAACTAAAAAATAAATATTAAAAATTCTCTCTCTTTAAAAAAAAAAAAAAAAGAATGTGTTTGGAAATAAAGTTCTTTTTTACAAAACTATTTCTAGAAAGTAAAATGTTAAATAAGGAACAAAGAAAGCAGAATGTTTATAGAAAACAGGAAGTGAAAAATAAATCAAACATTTAAGGTTTTCTTTTTTGTTTGTTTTCTATTTGTTTTGGTACTGGGGATTGAACCCAAGGGAGCTTTACCACTGAGCTACATCCCCAGGCTTCTTCACTCTTATTTTTTTGAGACAGGGTCTCACTAAGTTGCCCAGGCTGGTCTTGAACTTGGGATCTTTCTGCCTTAGCCTCTCAAGTCACTGGGATTACAAGTGTGTGCCACCAAGCACCTGGCTAGCCAGTTTTTCAAATAATGTTTGCTATGAGATTTCAGTGTAGACTTATTTTCCTCTGACAAATAGTAACTGACTGGATTTTTCTCATTTTAGCTTCTTTTAATAAGGGTTAATATTTCAGATACTTGGGTAGATTCATTTAACTCATAGGATATGCAACTTGACAAATTTTAATGCCCAGTCTTGCGTAGCTTGTTATAATTTGGTACTTAAAGGGGAGAAAAATGCCTTTCCTGTCTTTTCTTTCTTTCCCCTCTTTTCTTTCTTTCCCCTCTTCTCTTTTAGTGGTTGGTATATACTGAAGACCTACAGCTAGCTCCTCCAGCATGTAGGGAGAGAATGTGGGGTTTTGTCAGGTCCTCCACAGGGGGGAGAAGCTAGTGTGTCTCTTCCCTTGAGGTATAGTTCTTCCAGTCTGATGAACTGTCAGATCCACTGAGTGGTTGGTAAAGCAGATTGGACAGTGACTCGAGGAAGTGGTGGTTGGGGGGGGTGATATGTTAACCAATAACAATCAAAAGTAAAGTGATTTCTCCATGGCCCTGTAGATAGAACCATGTATGTTTCTAATGTTCCCCGTCTGCCGGAATTATTGTTTTCTATGAGGAAAAGGAGCCTGTTTGTGAGAGAAGGTAATTTGGAATGGATTATAAAAGCACAAAGAGCTATCTCAGTGCCAGTGCTGAAAACCAGAGGCTGTTAAAAAAGGGGGGGGGGGGGCACCAAGGAAAAAATGCTGGTGTGTGTGTCAGGTAATGAAATTTGCTTAATCTTAGTGGCCCTTGGACAGAATGCCAACCCAAAGTTTTTGTTTTATTGTTATTTTGCACTGGGGATTGAACTCAAGGCTGTAAGCACTTCATCACTGAGTTATGCTCCCAACCCCCGAAGTTTTGTATTCACATAATTAGGTATTTTTAAATATAATTATTTTATTCAAATCTTTTATCCTATTATGATTTAATATACTACTTTACAGTAAAAAATAAAGAAAACAGGTTTTTACTTGTGTTCATCATTGTAGTTTGAGTTTACTGGGAAATAGAATTCTGCTGCAGATCTTACATGACTGATTTCTCGACCCAAAGTGGGCTTGACAGTGGACTGGAGCAGTAATAGCCCACCTACTGTCAGGAGAGGCCAGGGCAGACTTTTCCCAGCAAGCCTGCCTGAGGTGGGCCTTGTCCTAGACCCTTAGGACCTAGAGTAGGCAGTCCCCCGGCTGTGGGAGCCAGGAACAGGGCAGGTCCATCAGCAGAGTATTCTGCCAGCAGGAAAGTTTAGGGTCTGGGTACCTGCAGAATATAAGTTAAAAGGTTGAAGCCTATGTTCTTTCGTAAGTATATATGAAGCACCTACTACAGAATGTTGAGAAATGGCTGTAAGTCTAATAAACAATGTGTGCTACTGCTTTTAGAGTGCGGTTTTTTTTTTATTTTGTTTTTTGTCCGCAGAGTCACAGACAAAAATGAATAATTAAACATTGTGACTCTCATTCATATAGGACCTGAGTTGTTCTGTTCTTGAACCTTTTTTTTTTTTTAACATATATATACTGGCGATTGAACCCAGAGAGGTGCTTTACTACCAAACTATATCCCCAGCCTTTTTTATTATTTTTTAATTATTTGGGGGTTTTTTGATTTATTTTGTTGTTTGTTTGGGGTGAGGGACAGGTTTATGGTGAATTACTCAAGCTAACTTCAAACTTGCAGTCCTCCTGCCTCAGCCTCCTGAGTTGCTGGGATTATAGGCTTGCACCTCGGCACCAGGCTGCATTGCCATTTTAAAATAACTACAAATATGCCAAAAAGAGAAATTAAAGTCATCTAATCTTGCCATGCAGACCTAACCACTGGTGTGCTTCTGAAGATAGCAGATAACTAATTATCCAATGCCTCCCTCTGTTCCCTTGAGTCCTTCATCATGGAGAGCCCCACCCCACCCCCCAAGCTTGCATTGACTCCAGCTTTTGGAGATGCTAGGATATCGACAATATTTCATGAGGAAAATCCCTTTCGAAGTGGCTGCTCTTACCTGCTTTCCAATTACTCTTCTCTGAACAGGGTTCAGATTTAAAATTAGATACTTAATATCGAAATATAAAAAACTGTAGTATTTGGGTTATGTTTTATTTTCTTCTTTTGCAAAAGGACTGGATAGAATGTGTATTATACACACACCTAGAATTTAGAAAAGTCATAATCAAGAATAATTCATTTTTAGGACAATTTTGTGGTAGGACTAGAAAAGCAGTGGATTGGGAGTCTACGGTGTTGAATGATAGTACCTGACTAATCACACATGCCATGCTAGAGAATATATCTAACCACTTAGATTTCAATGTTCCTACACTCACACTAGACAGTCTTTCAACTGGACTATAGTAGCCTAAGGCAATAAACCTTAATTTCCTTGTGCCTTTTCCATGATCAGTTCAGTTTTCTGTATTGAGGAACTACTTCCTTTAGTGGATAATTTTCTAAGATTCTAGCAGCCAGGCATGAGCAAGTGAAGAGTAAACACCTGACTCCTTATGAATTTGCCCAGTTCTGTTTCTTCACCAAAAGGGTGAAGGACTTCGGGGCACTAGAAAACTGTGATGATATGACCTTAGACTGAAATTATATGAATGTACTTTAATGATAAGATATATATTGTAATTTGTAAATGTGACACAAAACCCTTCCTCTGAGTCTGATCATTTGTGGTTGGCTATTCAGATCTCATTTCTATTTGACAAGGGTTTATTTAAGATTGATTTGTGAAACAGTTGCTTAACATTCAGGTGATCTATTAGTGTCAAGTCTTTAGCTAGACCTGTTTTAAATGAACTGTTCATTAAGTAGAAAACCAAACAAATTCAGATTTCTACCCCAACTTAGCAAAACCAGTGTAATTAAAATTTTATCTTCATATATGTTTATTTAATCTGGGTTTAAGTGACTATCCCCCTCCCATGGTGCTGGAGATTATACTCAGGGCCTTGTGCATGCAAGGCAAAACCTGTACCAACTGAGCTATATTCCCAGTCCCCATATAAGTGACATTTTTAAAGTTACTCTTGATAATACTATTTCTTATCAAGACTACAGGGGCTGGGGATGTGGCTCAATCGGTAGCGCGCTCGCCTGGCATGCGTGCGGCCCGGGTTCGATTCTCAGCACCACATACAAAGATGTTGTGCCCGCCGATAACTAAAAAATAAATATTAAAAAATTCTCTCTCCCTCCCTCCCCCCCTCTCTCTCTCTCTCTCTCTCTCTCTCTCTCTCTCTCTCTCTCACACACACACACACACTCTCTTTAAAAAAAAAAAAAAAAGACTACAGGGCTGGGGTTGTATTTCAGGCTTGCCTAGCATGTGTGAAGCAATGGGTTTAATCCTTAGCACCATATAAAAATAAATAAATAAAATAAAGATATCGTGTCCATTTATAACTAAATGTGTGTATATACATATATACATATATGTGTGTATATACATATATACGAACTACAGACTTTAATAGGTTCAGAGAAGAACTAATACTGCACACTAAACTAAGAGAATTCTTTACTAACTATTTGGTTATATTTGAGGGATGGGGGTCAGTTGGATGGAAGCTAAAGATGATAGTTACATAGTGATCAAACTGCTTTAGATGGTAGCTTTATCCATCATTCCAATTCTTACTGTTAGTGTCCTGGCCTTCTCTCTTCTTTTCCGGTGGCCAGCTTGTTACAGCTGTAATTGGCGCCTTGTTTCCTATTGAGCAAATACAACCATTGTCTGTTTTTTTTTAACTCAGATTTTGTCCCTTTTCTGTGTTCTAGGTGCTCCATACTTGCTTGCAGTGCTTATGTGGCTCTGGCTTTGGGTGATAACCTTATGGCTCTGAATCACGCAGATAAACTTCTTCAGCAGCCTAAACTGTCAGGATCTCTTAAGTAAGTATGACTCACCCTACATGTTCCTGGTTTGTTTTATTTCAAGGTTTCTGGTTAGTTCCTGGTACATATTATCTTTTTTACTCCTCCAGTAGAATATGTATTTGTGGAGAAAATAATGGCTTATAATTTTTCTTATAGATATTTTTTTAACCTAGTGCACTTCAAGGATCAGTGGAAATGGCATTTATTGTGCTGAACATTAAAAAACCCAAACTCAGGACTGTCTGCTGCTAGGGCTGATAGGAACACTTTAGGCCCCAAAAATACAGCAAGTACTCAGAGAAAAGACCCACAACAAAAATTTTTTTGAACCATCACAGTGGTGTACACCTGTAATCCCAGCAATTGGGAGGCTGAGGTAGGAGATTTGCAACTTCAAGGCCAGCCTCAGCAATTTAGTAAGGCCCTAAACAATTTAATAAGACCCTGTCTCAAAATAAAATACAATTGCTGGGTGTGATGGAGCACTCCTGTAATCCCAGTAGCTTGGGAGGCTGAAGCAGGAGGATTGCAAGTGTGGGATCAGCCTGGGCAACTTAAAGAGATCCTGTCGTTTGTTTCTGATTTTGTTTTGGTACTGGGGATTGAATTCAGGGGCACTTTACCACTGAGCTACTCCCATAACCCTTTTTTTTTTTTTTTTTTTTTTTTTTTAACTTTGAGACAGGGTCTCACTAAGTTGCCGAAACTGGCCTCAAATTTGGAATTCTCCTGCCTGAGCTTCTGGAGTCACTGGGATTACAGGCAAGTGCCACCACAACCCACTAGGGAGACCAAATCTCAAAATTTAAGAAAAAATTGTGGGTAGACAGGGATGAATGTGGTGGCACATGCCTGTGATCCCAGCATCTTGGGAGGCTGAGGCAGGAGAATCACAAGTTCAAAGCCAGTCTGAACAACCTAGCAAGGCCTTTAAGCAAATTAGTGAGACCCTGTCTAAAAGTATAAAGGGGATATAGCTCAGTTGGTAAAGTGCTTACCTCACATGCACAAGACCCTGGGTTCAATCTGCAGCACCACAAAAAAAAGTGGGGGTGGATAATGGAAATACGGCTTAGTGGTTAAGCACCCCTGGGTTCAATCCCCAGTATCCAAATAAAGGGGTAGTAAGGACTGGATATGTAACTCAGTGATAAAGTGACTCTGGGTTCAATCTCCAGGACCAAGGAAACTGTAAAAGCTTAGTTTATTTTGTTCTGATCTCAATTTAAAAAGTCATTAAAATTTTGAGCAGGGGCGCTGGGGATGTGGCTCAAGCGGTAGCGCACTTGCCTGGCATGCTGGCAGCGCTGGGTTTGATCCTCAGCACCACATACAAATAAAGATGTGTGTCCACCGAAAACTAAAAAATAAATATAAAAAAATTTTCTCTCTCTCTCTCTCTCTCTCTCTCTCTCTCTTTCTCTCTTTAAAAAAAAGGAATTTTTTTTTTTGAGCAGGGGCTGCAAGTGTCACTAAGTGGAAGAGCATGTTCTTAGCATGTACAAGGCCTGGGTTTGACCCCTGAATGCACACGCACGCAGACACAAATTTTTTTGAATTGCAGTATGATATGTCTAAGACTATTTGAAATCAGTCAGGTGATAATGGGGGAAATGGCTCAGAATAAGAGACTGGAAGAAGCAGACTGTTATTAGCCAGACAGATGTGCGTCTGATATCACATCAAGGGGCATAAAATAAGTGGCATGGAAAGCAGAAAATCTTAGATTAGAAGTAAAGTCTGATCTGGCACCGTGGTGCTTTCTGAGTCTTCCAGCAGCAGAGACCGAAGGAATCTGAGTTTGAGACAGGGTCTTGCTAAGTTCCATAGGGCCTTACTAAATTGCTGAGGCTGACTTTGAACTCATAATCCTCCTGTCTCTGTCTCCTGAGTTGCTGTGATTACAGGCATTCGCCACCACACCTGGCAAAAATCGGATTCTGATGCTCCACACAGTAGGCATTCGGTTTTGAATCTCTTTTGTTAGAACTTTATTACCTTTTGTGTTAATATTCTCTTTAAAAAAAAAAAAAGAATAGCACAAATTTGCCAGCTTGAATTGCATTTTTAATTGCTATGTATGTGCTTTGTTCCATTTGACTAACATAAAAATTATTATATATTTTAAGGTGTTTTTTAAAGAGAAAATTTAACCCCCAGTTATTCTATTTTTCCTAAATAGAGATTTTAATTCAAGGATATAAAATATTTGAAATATATACCCACTGTAATGTAATATAATACACCTGGTAGTATTACCCATTGGACATTTTTGTGATGACCTACTTTTCAGTTTGGAATACGTTTGTTGTTGTTTTTTTTCATTTTAGGTTCTTAGGCCATTTATATGCTGCAGAAGCCCTCATCTCTCTCGACAGAATATCCGATGCTATTACTCACTTGAACCCAGAGAATGTCACTGATGTCTCCTTAGGAATCTCTTCAAATGAGCAGGACCAAGGTTAATGAGGACACATTTGATCAGAATTGGTCACTGTTTCTACTTCCTTCCTGTCATAATTCAGGATGTGTAGAAACATAAAGGCATGGTTTTAAAGGAAAGAAATATCAGGATGGCTTTCCACATCTTGGGTTGTACTTACTTTAATATTTGTTAAGTAACCCTTTTGATCATTTAGTCTTAATTCTTACTTTTGAAAGACTGATRTTAGGAGGATTTTTTCTCCTCCTTTCTTTTTATAAAGAAATGAGATCCTCCTTCCTTTCCTTTCCTTCCCTTTCTTTCAAGAAATGAGATCTCATTACATTGCTCACACTGGTCTTAAACCAAGACACTAGGGATCCTCCTGTCTCAGCATCCTGAGTAGCTGGAACTAAAGGGTCATGCCACCATACCCCAACTTAGAGGATTCATTTGGATTTGATTTTGAATTGTATATTTTTACTTTCCACAGATCCCCAATCCAGGAGGGAATAAAAATATATTTAAAAGTTAATTTTAGGGCTGGGGATATGGCTCAAGTGGTAGCACGCTGGCCTGGCATGCGTGCGGCCCGGGTTCGATCCTCAGCACCACATACAAACAAAGATGTTGTGTCTGCTGAAAACTAAAAAATAAATAGTAAAAAATTAAAAAAAAAATAAATAAAAGTTAATTTTAAATCATGGTTATGTTTTTGAGGAAGTGAAATTATGTGGTATTCCTTTACTTGAATTTAGCTCTCAGTATTGGTGTATTATAGATAGTAGCATTCTCACATCTTTCAATAGAACCTCCAATACATTAAAAGTAAATATTGTTACTAATTATATTAGGTTTCTGCTTTATAAGGAAACTTAGATTTTTAGAAAATATGCTCTGTTGCCCTGTCCCTCAGATTTATTTTCATGTCTTTGTAGGATCAGACAAGGGTGAAAATGAAGCAATGGAATCCTGTAAGTAAGGAGTTTTTAAGGCTGGGGGTATGACCCAGTGGTAGAGCACTTGCCCAACATGCATGAGGCCCTGGGTTCAGTCCCTAGCACTACCCAAAAAAAAAAAGAAAGAAAGAAATGAAAAAGCTTTGTAAATATTTAAATGGCCTGGCCTGCATCCCCAAGTTTTAGACCCTAAATCTTCTGTGTCCTTCATTTGTCTGCCTGAGAAGTCGTGCTATGCCTCATTGTGAGTGGCTTCTCAAGGGCTATTCCCTCACCGTTGCAAAGACTGTTCACCCTGTTTGTGCTTTTTCCACAGCTGGGAAGCGGGCCCCTCAGTGCTACCCCAGTTCTGTCAACTCTGCCAGGACGGTGATGCTATTCAATCTTGGCAGTGCATACTGCCTGAGGAGCGAGTATGACAAAGCCCGAAAATGTCTGCACCAGGTAAAGCCACAGTGGGCAGAGCTGAAACTTCCTGTAAAGCAGCCAGCAAATGGTTTGAGAGTTATGGTTTGGTTTTTGTTTGAGGCTTTTGGTCAGTTTATTGAATTGGAATGTTACTTTTCAAGTTTAAAAATATTCTTGAAAGGTAAATAGCTGATCAGTATTGCAAATGAACTACACACTTAATGTAGAGTGTTTACCAATGATTTATTTTTCTTTGGTGGGGGAGTACCAAGGATTGAACCTAGGGGCACTTAAGCTGTGAGCCACGTCCACAGCCATTTTTATATTTTATTCTGAGACAGGGTCTTGCTCAGTTGCTGAGGGCCTCACTAAGTTGCTGAGGCTAGCTTAAATTCACGATCCTGCCTCATCCTCCCCAGGCCACTGGGATTAGAGGTATGGACCACTGAGCCCAGCCTGATGATTTTTTTTTWTATATATATAATTAAATTTTCAAAAGATTGAAAACCAGTCGGGCATGGTGGCTCATTCCTGTAATCCCAGCAGCTTGGGAGGCTGAGATAGGAGAATTGAGTTCAGAGCCAGCCTCAGCCACTACAAGGCACTTAGCAACTCAGTGAGACCCTGTCTCTAAATAAACTACAAAATACAGCTGGGGATGTTGCTCAATTGAAAACCACTTAAATAGGAGACCACTTAAATAATAGTGCATCTACACAGTTGAGTACAATGTAGTTTTAAACTCCGTTTACTAGTGTGTAAGGATACCCAAAACATAACTGAGTGAAGAGAGCGAGGTATAAACCATTTTCTGCATGGTACTGTGTATGCATGAAAGATCTCTGATTGGATACACTAGTAGCTGCAGCATTAGTTATAGAGGCAGCAGGAGTAGAGTACTACTACTGGGATACTTTTTGCCGTATTCTCTTAAGCATTTTAATTTTTTTTTTTTTTTTTTAAAGAGAGAGTGAGAGGAGAGAGAGAGAGAATTCTTAATATTTATTTTTTAGTTCTCAGCGGACACAACATCTTTGTTGGTATGTGGTGCTGAGGATCGAACCCGGGCCGCACGCATACCAGACGAGCGCGCTACCGCTTGAGCCACATCCCCAGCCCAGCATTTTAATTTTGAATTGTGTAAATCTTTATTCAGAAAGGTAACTTAATACACTCTAAGTCAAGTTTCAGAAAGCCAGTAATAGAGACACACTAAAATAAGTTGACACACTACAATAAGTTGCTGGCAATATGTAACTAACATGTTTGATATTATCTAGGAGTTGAGTTTATGAGTTAAACTTGTAACAGTAAGCCTATAAGTATAAAAAAATCTCCTTTTCTGGATTAAGTTGTTACACCTCAGTGATGTTAGAGGAATAAAAGCCTTTCTATATCAGGCACAGTGGAGCACACCTGAATTTGAATGATGCAGTGGTGCATGATTAGGCCTCAAAGATTATTCCGATTGGACCTGTATAGGCATCTACCCATAATTGGAAAAATTCATGGGTGTAAACTATACCTGTAGTAATGAACTGAGATTACCATTGATTTCACAGAATTTGAAAGACATAAGCCCTCAAAGGACATTCAAACAGCAGATATCTATTGAATACATAAGTCTCTGTTAAGCCATGATAATAAGACTTATTAGGCTATATCTTCTCTTTTTTTGAGGGGTTGGGGATACTGGGGATTGAACCCAGGAGCACTGAATCACATTTCCATCCCTTTTTTATTTTTATTTTGAGACAAGGTCTCACTGAGTTGCTGAGATTGACTTTGAACTTGCAATTCTCCTGCCTCAGACTTCCAAGTTGCTGGGATTACAGGCATGTGCCACTGCACCAGGCTTAGATGATACAGAATATAAGACTTCTATTATAGAAAGTTTGTGCCCAATGGTACGTTCATCAGAAGCACATGAGAACACATTCCTACATGTTTGCTTGTATAACTGAAATCAAAGTTAAACCTATTCTAAGGAGATTTTGATGGCTTCCAAAATCCTGCCTATTCAGATTACCTTGATGCACTTAAAAGTGATAATGCTTTACCATGGAAAAACTGTAAAATAATTATAAATGATATTTAGTCAACTTAGTGGCATTTAGTGAGCATTTCGTTTTTGGTACTGGGGATTGAATTCAGGAATGCTGTACCACTGAACTACATCCCTAGTGTTTTTTTGTATCTTGAGGCAGGGTTTCACCAAGTTGCTGAGGCTGGCCTTGGCCTTGAACCTTCCTTGCCTCAGCCTCCAGAGTTCCTGGGATTTCAGGTTTGTGCCACCATGCCCAATATCTAGTGAGCATTTCTCATCCAAAATCACAAAAGTTAAGTGACACACTATCCAGGGAAACATGTTTGATATTATCTAGGAGTTGAGTTTATGAGTTAAACTGGTAAAAGTAAAAGATCTCACCATTCTCAGTGGCAAGATATTTAACAGCCCTGTTAAAAGTACCCCTGGAACTTAGGATAGATTATATGCCTAGCATGCACAAGGCCATGGTTTTGACACCCAGTGCCACAAAAAATTAAAAATAGTTTTAGAAAATGAAAGTGCTCCTGTACCCCAATTACAGCAAACAGGGCTTTTGATCTAAAGTTGTAGTGTGTGCAGTCTCACTCAGGTTCTCATACAGCAGGTGGCCACGGCTGCTGACAATTGCTGAGAGAGACAGATGGGGTCAGGCCTGGTTCGGGGTCTGAAGGGGTTTTGTTTTGGTCCCTTGGTTTTTAGGTTAATCCAATGACTGGACCTTTGTTAATTGGGAGGCCCACCCTGCCTAGGAGAGCAAAACAATGACGTTAGGAGTTGCAAAGGCCTCCAAGTAGATGTTTCCAAGGTAGCCTGCCCACTACTAACCATTCTGAACTGCCAGTAGGCAAAGTGCCATTAAATCTCATAATGTTGTAGCCTTGAATCTTTGTATTTTATGAAAAATTGCAAACTATGGTTAATGCAAAGAATAGTAAACATCCTGTGTTTACTAGCCACTTGGGGGAAGAGATTTTAATATCCACAAAAATGGTGGCCATGTTCTTGCTTATATAAAGGTAAGCCTAGGCTCAGTGATAGAGTATAAAAAAATCTCCTTTTCTGCATTAAGTTGTTACACCTCGGTGATGTTACAGGAATAAAAGCCTTTCTATATCAGGCACAGTGGGGACACACCTGTAATCCCAGCAACTCAGGAAGCTGAGATAGGAAGATTGCAAGTTTAAGGATAGCCTCAGCAATCTAGTGAGGCCCTAAGCAACATAGCAAGACCCTATCTCAAAATAAAAAGGGCTGGAGATGTGACTCAGTAGTGAAGTGCCCCTGGGTTGAGTCCCTAGTATAAATAGAATGAATGAATGAATGCATACAGGCTGGGGGTATAGCTCAGTGGTAGAGCACCCATGGGTTCAATCCCTAGTACCCCCTCAAAGGGCTCCCCATCCCATTAGTGAGAAACTTAAGGTTATGGCCTGCTTATATGAGGCTCCCTACTAGTCTGGGATTTCTCTTAGTATGCCAGAAACTGACCACCCAGTGCAAGTTTCTGGTTTTCCCACACAATCCTGCATTCAAGCCTCATCCTTCAATGCCATTTACCATGGCATGGTGATGCACACCTATAATCCCACTACTCTGAAACCTGAGGCAGATGGATCACAAATTCCAGGCCAGCTTCAGCAATTTAGCAAGATCTTGTCTCAGAAACTAATGGGAGGGCTGGGGCTGTAGCTCAGTGGTAGAGCATTGCCTCACATGTGTGAGGCACTGAGTTTGATCCTCAGCACCACATAAAAATAAATAAAGATATTGTATGTTCATCTACAACTAAAAAAATTTATTAAAAAAAAAAAACAGTGGGGCTGGGGATGTGGCTCAAGCAGTAGCGCGCCCTTCTGGCATGCGTGCAGCCCAGGTTCGATCCTCAGCACCACATACAAACAAAGATGTTGTGTCTGCCGGAAACTAAGAAATAAAATATTAAAATTCTCTTTCTCTCTCTCTCTCCTCACTCTCTCTTTAAAAAAAATAAATTTAAAAAAAAAATAAATAAAAAAAAAAAACAGTAATGAGAATGTAGCTCAGTGGTCAGGTGCCCCTAGGTTCAGGTCCCAGTACTGCAGTAAATAAATACCATTGCCCCCCATTTTCTGGATATCAAATACCTGCCTCCAAGCACTAAGACAGGTCTCTCTTACTCCCAGATCTCCTATTCAAAAGAACATATTCTGCGTCTGAGAGTGCATCTCGGTGGTAGAATGCTTGCCTTGCGTGCACAAGAGACCCTGGATTTTATCCCAGCACCACACACACACAAAAAAATTATTTAATTTAAAAAACACCTTTCTCAGGCTGGGGATGTGGCTCAAGCGGTAGCACGCTCGCCTGGCATGCGTGCGGCCCGGGTTCGATCCTCAGCACCACATACCAACAAAGATGTGTCCGCCGAGAACTAAAAAATAAAT